ATGGCTGAAAAGAAAGAGACGGAAACCAAGACTGTCAGCAAAAGCGAGACCGTGGGCTGGGAACTTGACTTGCTTCTTTGGGGTGTTTGCTCTGCTTTGCTTTTTAACCCACCGTGGTTTCGCCTCTGACAGAAGGCACGCTGCCCTCAGCCCACCAAGCAGCCCCGCACCTGGATGGAGTGAAAGATGCGGCCCGATGACATTAACCCGAGGACTGGGCTAGTGGTGGCCCTGGTCAGCGTCTTCCTGGTCTTTGGTTTCATGTTCACCGTCTCTGGGATGAAAGGCGAGACCCTGGGCAACATCCCCCTCCTGGCCATCGGGCCAGCCATCTGCCTCCCGGGCATCGCAGCCATTGCCCTGGCCCGGAAAACCGAAGGGTGCACCAAGTGGCCCGAGAACGAGCTGCTCTGGGTCCGCAAACTGCCCTGTTTCCGGAAACCCAAAGACAAGGAGGTGGTGGAACTGCTAAGGACCCCTTCGGACCTGGAGTCAGGCAAGGGGAGCTCCGATGAACTGGCTAAGAAGGCGGGCCTCAAGAGGAAGCCTCCCCCGCAGGGGCAGGGTGAGGTGCAGACCGCCAGCTCCATCACCACCACCCCCACGCCCAAGGAGGAGGGCGAATGCCAGAGCATGGTCCAGAGCGGGCATCAGGAGACATCCAGATACCTGGACGGCTACTGTCCTTCTGCCAGCTCGCTGGCCTGCAGTGCCTTGGAGGCCAAATGCTCAGCCTGGGACAGGTCCGACTGCCCGGAGCCCGAGGACAGCATCTTCTTTGTGCCCCAGGACAGTATCATCGTTTGCTCCTACAAGCAGAACAGCCCCTATGACAGATACTGCTGTTACATCAATCAGAGCCCAGGCAGGTGGGACCAGGAGACGATAGTCTAGGCGTTCCATACAAGGGTCCCTGTGTTATAGAAACATGACAACACCCAGCTCCTAGTGGAAGAAAGTTGCCTGGCTCTAACAGCCTGCACACCGTTAGAGGTTGATGTGGTATGTGATGGGTATGCCAACCCCCAGTGCCTGAAAGCCACGTCGATAGGCATGTTGGTGACACGTTTTAAGGAAGGTCAGGCACTCTGGAACAAGCAGTGAGTAGAAAAGGGAGCAAGAGTTCCAATCGCTTTTTAACAATTTAAACAATGTTGAATGTTTTGTGAAATAACCCAAAAAGTGCTAACCAGCACCTGCTGAAAGCAAGATAAATGTAAACTGCGGCTATCAGGAATCAGACCACAGGGAGGCTGAGCTACTTTATGTTTGCAGAAATTAGAAGGAAAACAATCATAATCAAATGTTCTGTTATATGTTTGCCTGATATAACAGACGTTTGCCTAAAGAGAAAAAAAAACAGAGAGAACAGTCACATCTCTTCTTAAGTGGGATGATTTTTGGAGAGCAGGGCGTTAAAGACAGGTGAATTGTGTGACTGGGTTTGACGGCAATTTCCTCTACAGACTGGGGGCTTCAAGTTACCTAAAGTGTGACCAACTATGATTTTTAAAAAAGAACCATTTTTGATAGCCATATTATTTCTTAAATTGTTTAAATTTATTTACTGCATCTTTATGAGATATGTGGTTTGGTTGGCTATCCTAACATTTGCTATCCTTCATGTATACTTTCCTCACCAGGTGCAAAATGACTTGATGGGCTATTTTCATAGATTCGAACTTGCTTTCCTCAAGTCCAAATGGTGGTCCATATATATGTAGGTGTCGTTGACATTTCTGGCAGGTGTTGCGGTCATGACTGAAAGGCTGGCGGTTTGAACTCACCAGTCTCTCTACAAGGGAAAGATGTGGCAGTTGGTGTCCGTAAAGATTACACTCTTGGAAACCTTGCTCTGCCCTAAGGTCATTATGAGTTGGAACTGATGTGACAGCAATGCAGCTGGAGTTGTTTGGTTATATGCCATTTACAGGCTGAAGACTATGAAATCAATGCAGTGGCCCTGGACTTGATACAGAGTTTGCATGAAATGCAAGGGTTAAACCCATTGGGAATGTCATTGTTTGTACATTTGTTTCAATACCCCCAAAGACTGTAAATGCCAATGAAACCATTCATCTTACTAGATTTAATTAAAGCCCAGATTTTATTAAATTCACCTAATCAGTGAATATGACAAGACAAATGTCTGTTTGTATCCTTCTCGCTGTTTTACTGTTAAAGAAAAAAAACCTCAATGGGATCCTAAAAAGCCTTTCCTATTTCACCTGCTCAACTGTCATGGACAAGAAGGGTGTTCAGTCAGAATATACCATTTGCTCTCTATTGAATGATACATAGAACCGTACGAGAGAAATGCTGAATGATCTACAGAAACAATGACAGATGTCAGCTTGAAGATCAGGGTAATTTTGTGTTCTTCCAAGAATGATGATTGTAAATGAAAAGATAGTTTCAACTGAAATGCCTTTTAATAACTGTTTTCTACAAAACAGTTATTGCTGGGGGGGTGGTGGTGGTAATGTGTTAATATTCCTTTGTGTATTTCCAGCCCAACTCTGCAATTCTTCCTTAAGAAATGCAAGTGTGGAAAATTGTTCTGTCTTTTAAAATCATAATTTCAAAACCAAATTCAAGAGTGTGCACTTTTTTTTAGTAGGACCTAAATGCCAGAAAGTAAATTTCACCTTCTTACAACTTATTTTCTTAATCTATGAAATGGGGGAAGGATGACTGCTTTACACTAAATTATTTCTATACTTCATCCCAGCTTGAATATCCTCTGCTAGCATGTCAAAGGTACTTCATGTATTGCCAAAAGGCGAATTAAGAAAGAGTGCATGTCAAAGTTATGCAACTCAGGATAACAATTATGCCAATGGGTTGAATTCTTACCACTACACAAAAGCTGTTTGTAGATTTCCGAAATCAGATTTATCTGGATACCCAGGATTATTTATTCACCAAAAGACATTTCAGTGAATGGAATCAAGATGTTCGGAGTAAAAGCTTTTTGAGGAGAAATTGTTTTATGTTGGTATAGCCCAGATTATTATGTTGGGGTGGGGGGAAGAATTGTTTACTGAAATCAAATGACTTTTCATAATTCTGATGCATTTTTAAAGAGGAAAGTCATATTGCTATGAAAGGAAAGAATATTGGATAATTTTTCTAATGCGTTTGCCACTGAGGAAATCTTCAGGGGTGAGAAGAGAGACATCAGAGAGAGATGTTCAGAGGCTCATCAAATCTTGCACACAAGCTGAAAAGAGGTAGTCCTAAGGTCACGTGTGGCTTGGGGCTTGGAAAAGTTACTTCTTGATTTATTGGAACTAGCTCAAGCTTCTTCTTATATTTCAAAAACTGTGTGGAGGAGGGAGTCCATATCTGACCTCGTCTGGCTTCCCTATTGCCACGAAGGCAGAAGGCAGACATGCCTCCATCTTTCTGTCCTTATTCTAACACCAATGGGTCCTCCCTTGACACTCCACTTCCATGCTGCATTCAATAACTTGTTGCCACGGCCATACAGAATTCACAGGTAACACTCGTGATCACGGGGTTTACTAGGGAAGTTAACAGGTCTCCACAAGTCAGGATCAATAAACACTAAGGATACAGTCGTTGGCCCACAGCAACACCTCCCCTCAGCCAGTAGCCAAGGCTCTCTCCAGTGCTCAGCCTCGCAGGTTTGTGGTCCTTTGGCTTTTGCCTCTGTGGGCCAAGAAGCAGGCCCACTGCTCTGCCTAGCAGCTTCATTGTCTCCACACTGCTCCTCTCTCTGCATTGTCCCATGGGCCCCATTCCAGTCTCTGGTCCCTCTCATCTCAGCCTTAGCCACTTCAGACAGAGATCCCCAACAGGCACCACTGGTGGCTTTTCTTCCAATGGTGCTAGGATTTCTCTCTGTGTTCTTGCTTTAAAGATGGCTCTTACACACAGAGGGATAGCTTTGCTGGAGGTGTGGTTTCTGCCTCTCGGCAGGCCATACCCCCAAAGGAAACCAGGGTGGGGACTTGGTTCATCGCCTCTACTCAGCTGAAAACTTACATTATATCCACAGCCAGGTTATTGTTATCATTAGGTGCCATCAAATTGATTCTAACCCATAGTGATCTTATGTACAACGGATTTGTTCCTGTGCTTGAACCATTGTTGCAGCCACTGTGTCAATCCATCTCCTCAAGGGTCTTCCTCTCTTTCACTGCCCCTCTCCATTACCAAACATGATGTCCTTCTCTAGGGACTGGTCTCTCCTGACAATATGTCCAACATGTCCAAAGTACGTGAGACGAAGCTTCACCATCCTTGCCTCTAAGGTACCCTCTGGCCATACTTCTTCCAGGACAAATTGGTTTGTCCTTTTAACAGTCCACGATACTTCTTCTCCAGCACCACAATGCAAATGCATCAATTCATCTTCTGTTGGCCTTATTCTGTGCCCAACTGTCACATGCATATGAGGCAATTTGCAAATACTATGGCTTGGGTCAGATGTACCTTAGTTCTCAAAGTAACATCCTGGCTTTTCCATACAAGCAACGAGGCTAGAATTCACAATGCATCCCGAAGGGATTGTGGCAAAAGAAACTATGGCTAGAAGGGCCATATTAAAAAAATTGACTACATCCCATATATCTAGCACATTACAAAACAAACAACCAAACAAACTCACTTCCATTGAGTGAATTCTGACTCATGGTCCCCCTTAGGGCAGGATAGAACTGCCCGTGTGAATTTCCAAGACTATAACCTTTTTATGGGAATAGAAAGTCCCATTTTTCTCCACAGGAGAGGCTGGTAGCTTTGAACTGCTGACTTCTTGGTTAGCAGTCCAAGTCATAACCACTATACCACCAGGACTCCTGTACATAGCACATGCACATACCAATTGTACAAATCCAGGGTCAACTATGAGTAGGAATATAAGGTCATTTACCATATTTTCAAGTTCTATTTCAAAAGAAACCTCATTCCGACTTCTCCCTCTATTCACTTACTTGAACCAGATATTTAGAGTATTAAAGAATGCATTTGTGGAAAGAGTCTATTGTACCTATAAAAAAAAAAGATTTGAAAATATTGGGCTAAAAGGCTTGACTTTCACTAGAAAAAATAAAATGCTTGATAATGTGTGTCGGGTATTTCTTTAATATCCCAAATAAAGCAATTCCTTTCTAATATGAAGCAATGTAGCCTGGTGCCCCAAATCAATACCTGTAGATACCCGTCAGGTAAAACGGTCACACCTTTTGAATAGCGATGGAAGGAAAGCAATACATGGAGAGAGCAGTGTCTATACCCTTACAGGAAAACAGAGCAGCGCATTTAAATCTGCAGTCCCAGCAAACTCTTAGCATTAATGACTAGACACGAGAGTGTCTTTCTGACGGCATCGAAGAACTTCCAGACAAATACAAATTTTTCTGTTGTTAAGTCAAATAGTTGTTTCAACTGTATTTTATTTTTGAGATGATCTCTGTTGAATTTTCCTTGCTCTGTATTCCTGCTTGCTATGCACGTAGGTTCTTTTCCAAACTGTTTCTTGACTTCTAAATGTGAATCCAGCCAAGATTCCCACGCTGGAGCATATTTAGACAACGGCTTCAAATGTTAGCTCCTACAGCAATCATCATGACAAACAAATCCAGATCGGGTTAGCTGAGGGCTCTCTTCCCAACTCCACTAGTCAGTCCCTTTGAAAACATTTTAAATACTATGGGTCTTCATATCCTCTGAGTAGACAAATAATGACAAAAATAAGAAAGGGATATTTGTTATTTTAAGTGTTTTTTTCTTTTTGTAAGATCCAACATATTTAACAACATCTTCTCTCATTATTTGCTTGGTGGGAATTTGCTGTTTTCAGAAATGCACAACCCACCGTCCTAACATCAAGAGCTCCCGTATCCTCTTTCAGACATTGTCCACAGGCATATGTTGCTTATATGTTACACTCAAGTGATTTTCTTTTCTCTTTTAATTATATCCTAAATATGCTTCTGTGTTCCTATGCAGTTTTCTCAAATATCATCTCATGATTGTGTGATGTGCTATCTTGTTATATGTCACAATTGAACATACCGTTCCTTACTTGGGGCCAGATACAGAGTTTTACGGATGAGTTTCTATGTTTTATTTGACTGTGGGGAGCCCTGCTATATTATTTGACATATGCCCATAGAGATGAACATTTACAGCTGAAAAGCTATCCTCGGATAGATGGGAATGAGAGGACAGCCATGTGGAAATGAAGCCATTCTCCATCTTGGTTTGCTCAGGTCTTCTCTCCACCTGGGCAGATACAAGGCACAGGGTGGGAGACAAAACAATGTGTCTTAAAAAGGTCTCCCATTCAGGGCTAGAGCGAGCAGTTCCGAAGAGTAAGATAAGACATTTCCCCAGTGAAGATACCAGAAGTTACAGTTCTCAAAATCAAACTACCATGTCATCAATCTCCAAGAGCATAATGTTCCACAAGCAAAACGATCAGTAGATATGAACAATAATCATGATTTTGTACATTTTCTTAAAGTACCTCACCATTTTTAATACCTTTAATATGTGTACATATTATTACCTAGTAGTGACTTTTACAAATGAACTAGAGTGTCAGGAGTTCAGTAACCTCTATCCCTAAGTTTTGTATGTTTCAGTTCCTCCCTAGGAACAGCTGGGTGGAGCATGGGGCTGTGGATTCACAAACATGTGAGTCAACCAAATAGCACAAAAAAGAACTGAATTTCATAAAACCTCTTGTCCAGATGATACAAAATAACGTACCCTAAATGCTCTTGAGACAGAGAGCATGCCTTTGCTCTCCCATGTCATCACCAGGTCTTCACGC